TGTATGCGAGCTCACCTTGTAACCAGAAGGTCCTGGGTTCGAACCCCAGTTGGTGCATACTGTGAAGAGTCCCAAACTAGGGCGAAACAGTCGTCCAGTACTCCCAGGTTTTCCAATGGTTCTCTAACCAATGTCAGCTCATGATGAAATCCTGTAACCAATCAATCAAATCCCTAAAAACCAATACTTGAAAACCCCAGAGAATTTTTGGAAGCCTGGTATTCTGGTGAATCAATAATTACCAGGCACATTGCCACAGATTAAATTTACCAATTAATAAGAGGAAAATTTTCATGCACAAAATGTCAAACTTCAGGTCAGGGAAACAATCAGTACCAATACAAGCAGACTAGAGGGTGAGAAAACAGACCCAAACAACCGAAGAGTCACATTCAAGGTCACCACTAGGGGAGATGACTAATAAACTCGTAGGGAAATTGAAGTATGCTCTGAGGTTCGGATGTTGCCTAGTAAAGCAATGAAAGCTTCGCAAATAAACCATCCAGTTCAGAGAACACAACTACATCGAAATCACCCACCTGAGCTACAGATCTTCTATATCAGATCTATTTGAAGAAATGCACGGGATTCATATGTTGAGTTTTTTTCTGGAGAATTCATAACATCATGATACTCAGCATAAATAATTCTTGCTTTTTTAACTCTCTGCATCCCTATCAGAACATAGAGCTTCAAGTTTGGGAATTTCGGCAGTAGTTGTATTGTTTTTGCAGAGTGAGACTTGTAGCCTCGCGCTCAAACCTCCCTCTTTCTCCCAGGCGTGTTACCAACTGGTGAACCAGGTGAGGTTTAGGAGTGCGTCGACTAAAAACCGAACCTGAACCATGCGAGTGTGTGGTTGGCTAATGGTCTGTCCTTGAACTACCGACTCAGGACATTAGTAGTAGCATTAGCGGAAGAATTAATAATAATAATTTGCTTTATTCCAAAACAGTACTTGTGATACAGAATGGAATTCTCAGCATTTTTAATACAGTATTGCATCCAGTTAGTACATTATCAATAAATAGAATTCTACATAGATTAAGGAAATCTCAGTTCATTATGACAACAAAGATATCGGCATGTCGCTGGCGAAGCCAAAGTTGAGCAGTGTTTGAAGGTGTTTGAAAAGTAGGTGCTATCATATTTACTGGCGTAAGTGGAAGGAAGAAACAAAGCAGCACATAACAGAAATAAAAAAGAGAGAGAGAAAAGGAAGAGAAAGAAAGAAAATGTTGTACCTATAAATGATATGAGTTGGAAAGACGAGGTCCAGTTGTTCTACTGACTATTTAATAAGTTATAGGTGTCACGCCTCATGCTTTCTTTATCATTAGGCGTGAAATAGGAGTCAAATACTTCCAAGTGTTCTATGCTACTTTTTAGCCGATATCAATACGTAAAGTAGTCCACTCTGGAATAAATTAGACCTCCATAAACTCAAAAAGAATTCATTTTTGGTCTTTTATTCGCAATCACATGATTCCAAATGTCTGCCAACCAGTTTCCTTTCAATCCATTAATCCTGCACTTGGTCTAGACATCTGTCAAGGAACTTAACCCTAAGTTCATATTATTCGCGAAGACACTCAGAATCGATAACTACTATGATCGATAATCAACTTTAACTCCAAAACACCAGTACATGCAATAACTTGTATTGTTCGGCAATTAAAATCGAAATTGATACAAAGTCTGTCAGCAAATGTTTTACAAGGAATGTACCGTACTTTTATTCGTATTCTTTCGTCTTCTTCCAACTTGCATCCAAGACTTCAGCTTTCGTTGGAGGATTGGTGTCAACCTGCAGTGGTGTACGTGCTGTTGTTGGTATTTCTGGACGGGTTGTAGGTGGTGGTCTGTTCAAAAGTCCTTTGAAGTGGTCCGCTCATTGTTTAATCTGTCTTTCTTCTTTGGTTATTGGATTCCCTTGGCTGTCTTTTATAGGTTTCACTTGTGTTGATCTCTTCCCGGATAGAGACTTGGTTATCTGATATAGTGTCCTCAGGTCCCTTTTGCCTGCTGCCTTCTCAGCTTCTCAGTAGCCAGGTTGTCGTAGAATTGTCTTTTGTCCTTCCTGGCACTCTTCTTCACTTCTTTGTCCAGTGCTGTGTAAGTTGAGTTCAGCGTCTCTTTCTCTTGTCCATCTTTGCATTGAATCATTTTCTCTTTCACTTTTCTCCTCTCCTCTATTAGTTTCCAAGTGTCTGTTGAGAGCCATTCCTTGTCTTGTTTCTTCTTTCTTCCTAAAACCGTTGAGCACGTTTCGTTGAAAATTACCTTCAGAGAGTTCCAATGGTCTTCCACGGATGATTCCTCAGTGGTGCCACATAGTGTTTCCTGCTTTGCTCTGACAGTTGCAGTGAAAATGTCCTGTGTGATTGTGTCCTTCAGTTTTTGCCTGTTGAACTTGCATTGTGGCCTATCCCCAGCTTTTAGCTTCACCTTGAAAGTCCTTTGTACTAGATAGTTGCCTGAATCCACATCTGCTCCTCTCCTCGACCTTGTGTCCAGTAGGCTCCGTCTCCACTTCCTTGAGATTGAAATGAAGTCTATCTGATTTTTGGTGTGTCCATCTGGTGAAATCCATGTTGCCTTGTGTATATCCCTGTGTTTGAACACACTGCCACCAATCACCAAATCATTGAAGGCGCAGAAATCTGAGAAGAGTTCACCATTTTCGTTCATTTCACCGAGGGCCTCGCGACCCATGGTGAGTTCTCTTCCTGTATTGTCTCCTCCCAGTTTCGCATTCATGTCACCCATCAAGATTTTGATATCACACTTCGGGACCTTGTCCATTACTGTTTGTAGTTGACTGTAGAAATCCTCCTTCTTCTCTTGTTCTGAGACGTTTGTAGGCGTATAGCATTGAATGATTGTAACCTTCTTCCCTTTTGAGTTGAACCTGGCTGTCATTATCCTGGAGGAGATTGGTTCTCACTGCATGAGAGCTTTAGCTGCTGTTGGTGACATCATGATGGCTACTCCCTCGGTGTACTCGTGATCGTCCTCTGGGTGGCCGGAGTAGATTACTTTCTCTCCAGTTGGTAGTTGGCACCTTCCACATCCGTTCCATCTGCTCTCTCAGATTCCCAACACTTTTATTTTATATCTCCTCATTTCTGTGGCTACCTGGGAAGCCTTTCCAGTTTCGTACATTGTACGAACATTCCACGTCCCCATTCTTATTTTTGCTTTCATCGATAGAAGGCACATCGGCTGACTGGCTTCCCGAAGGCTTTCACCTGCCTGCGTCATTTCACTTCCCCGATTCCAGCGAAAAATAAGGTTATTGTTTGTACTTTTAGAATTTTTGATATATTTGTGCGTTGGAGTTTCTGTAGCAATTTGGTTAAGTTTTGGGGGTGGAGTTGCTAGCATCACGCCCCAACCCTCCCTTTTTATCCGGGCTTGGGACCGGCTAGAATACTAGTGACCTAGTAATCTAGGCGAGGTTATCTAACACCTATCCTCGATAATATTTACAAGAAGCCTCACAATTACATAGTTACACTTAATTTCATGTTAGTGGATAAGACAAAGGATGAAACACATTTACGCATGAGTGAACCCTGAGAGTGGTCGGTGTGTCCAGAAGGCGTTGTGATAACTACAACCTACACAACAAAGTCGATTTCAGCATTCAGTGTGGTACGTCATGATGAAAAAATACATTAAAATATCACAATTATAAAATTACTCAAGCACTAACACAAATGAAAATATGGTAACAATCTGCCGTCCGAAAGCAAAGCAAGCTCCAAGCAACAAATTACTGAAAGTTTGGGTAAATCAAGCTTCAGATACGGCACGTATTCACCAGTTGTATATGATAGGTTGTGTGGGTGACATTTCAAACTGTACTAATGTCACAACTTAATCTGTACTGTACCAAACTTACTACTGCTGGTAACAACACTTGAATCAAAAAGGTTTGCCTTTTCAAACAAGATGTTCTGCCGAACGACTTGTTTAGAAGACTGAACGTCACAGTAAACTCGAGAGAAGCTTTCAGACGATCGTCTGACTATTGTGGGTGAACTATGAAGTCTGGCGTCGAAGAAAAGTGTAAAATAGCGTCCAAACATGGTCAGAAAAACACACCAAAGTAAAATATAAAAAGCTAAAAGCATTCGCGAGTGGGGCAGAAGTTTGTCCAGTCATAATTTAACTCATGCAGTGTTAGCCCTATTTTTAATCTGGTCCGGTGAAATATGCATCGAGACTGACCTTTACTAGAAAGCACAGATAATTTCTGCAGTTACTCTGTAATTCGCTGAAATAAAGTGGTTCCGTGGAAGTTGGATGGTGAATGTCTAACTCGGATATACGCAGAACACAGAAGTTTAAAATTTCCACTTTATTTGAGGATACTTACTGACTCACGTTCATTCTTCCTTACATTTGTGTTTCCAAAATGTTTTAAAAAAATTATCATAATCATCTAAATTCCAGTAAAACACAATACACAAACAAAGCGTTAGGTGATACGCTGATTTGGTTGGACGATATTTTTTTCATCACATGTCCAATGAGTTCAAAATCCAATTCAAAACTGGTATAAAACTTGCTGAGATTTGAGTGAGAAATACACTGCTGAGAAAAGAAAAACGTAATCATGATCTGTTATTCTGCATTGTTCGTTGTTGCGTTACTCCTGAATAATGCAAGTCGGCGCACTCTCGCTATAGTTCCAAAACCAACAGTTTACAACCAAGCTTCAACTGCCTGCAACCTGGTTCAAACACTCACCTACGAACACAACTACCCAACATGCTTTATACTCACAGACTCCCTGACAAGATTTCGACTCCGTCTAGCATCACAGCACCCACCAATTCCTCAGGAAAGTAAAGAGAAATGTATCATTAAGAAACTGAAAATTGAAATCACGGATGGATGTGACGAAGTTGCAGATAAACTGTGGCCGAGTCATATAATGAACGAATCATGTGAGTCACAACACAAGAAGTATTTCATTCACCACTTAGCAGATAACGTGAACATTGAAGATACAGAGATCTCGATAAGTTCCAAAGAGGTTTGGGGTGCACTACGTGCTCTTGAAACTGTACTTCAGATGGTGTACAAAGATGAATTTGAAGGAGTGAGTTTTGTTCTTGTTGATAACTTGACTTCATCAATATATTTCATCTAGAATATGATATTTAAGGGTTCTGTGGAAGATGAACCATTATTCTCATATCGTGGAATGCTCTTAGATACCGGAAGGAATTTCTTGCCAGTTGAAACCCTTCGGGAAACAATAGTAGGAGATGTGATGTTCAGCATAGAATTTTCTGTTTTCAGGATATCATGGCTATGGTTAAAATGAATGTCCTTCATTGGCACATCACAGATGACGAATCGTTTCCCTTTGTCTCAACCACCTATCCAGAACTGTCACACAAGGTAAATTGAGTCAATTTTCGGCTGTTAATTAATTCCGATTCTCGTCTCAATATCAACAGGGTGCATATCATCCACAAAAGTGTACATATGATGAAATAGAAGTGTCTGATTTATTGGAATACGCTCGTCTCCATGGAGTCCGGATCATTCCAGAATTCGATACTCCAGGTAAATAAGTTTGAAGACATTTGGTATGATGTGATTATCCACTAATTGTGCTCACATGAAATAATATTATGTAAATATTTAAGTCAGTGTGATAGTGTTCTTGAAAAATGCCGCGAATGGAACGCTGAACCATGAGTTCGGCGAAGGCAATAGGTTTGAAACTATATTTTTTTTATCATATTTTGATGACAGCTTGATGCCTCACCGTATTTTCAGTACAAGTATGGAATTTTGAGCATGGATATCGGCAGCCCAAATTTTGCAGGCCAACCATAGATATCAGGTGTGCATTGGCAGGGGATCGAACCCCGGACCATGTGCATGGTCGAAATGAGTCCAAACCACTGTACCACCGACGCACGCAGATTTTTCAAGATTTCATGTTTGTAGTTATATTAAATCAAGGAGGAGGTGAAGCGGATTAATTCTGCGTTGCCTGACAGTTTCATATTTGACGAAAACCTTTATCGCTTCTCTGTGGAGAAAAGACCGCAGTTTTTTTTCAAATCTTTGCGGGTGTATGGTTCCATTTATTCTCTTTCAGTCGCGTCACGTAAATCAAATACTTGAATATCACTATTTGAAGTTTCAGTAGGACTTTCAAGTGCTTGATCACTGTATTTTAAGTCTCAGGGATTATCGCTGAGTGAAGGAATGCAGTTCATAGGGAATCACAGGAAACGAAATAACAGTTGATTTCAAATGGTGAGTGGTATGTAGTGTTGACTGATGAACAGCCACGCCATTTTATTCTAAGTAATATTGTCCTTCTAAAGGTTGTCAAAATGATCTTCACTGGTTGTCACAATTCTTCCTTGTAGCGCATACATTTTCCTGGGGAAAAGCATATCCAGACTTACTAACAAAATGTTATTACGACTCTAAGCCAACTGGACATTTGGGTCCAATGAATCCAGCCAATGATTCTACATTTAAGTTTTTGAAGAATCTGTTTACAGAAGTCACAAGCCGATTTCATGATAATTATATTCATCTTGGAGGCGATAACATAAATTATTTCTGTTGGTGAGTTTACTCATATTTTTTTGAGTAGATTGAAAATCCCCATTGAGTCATATGAAAAAGAGAAGACATTCAGCGAAGAGACTCTTTTCGGCGAATTCACTCACATAGCTGTACAATCGCATTTATATATAAATATTTGTGTGTGTGTGTGTGTACATGAGGTTTGTCAAGTTTAGATAATTTATCAGTTAATACAAGAATGATGCAGTATAGAGACAAAGTTAATCAGACAGCAACTAAAGTAAGATTGAGTGAATAAGTTGGATGACGTAACATGAATGACTAGAAATTGAGCGTTGTTCAAGTCAGTAACAGTGGTAGTAAGGTGTAGAAATTGAATCGGGTGGGGGTAGAGAACAAGAAAGGTGAAAATGTAAAATGTTACAATTGAGGAGACAAAATAATACTAATGAAGAGACAGAAGAAAAGATTAGGTAGAATTTACATGTCGGCTAATAAGATAGATTACGTCCATTGCAAGTGTAGTGATTGAACGAACTTCTTCTGTATGCAGAGTTCAGGACTTAGCAAGTGAATCGCCATTGCTTCTGCAGTTTGAAGAAGTCTGATTCGTACACCTTTAGGGAGACTACTTCTTACTCTGTAGACGACTCTGAAGTTTGTTTGCGGTGTAGTCTACTCAAGAACTCATGTAGTCGAAGACTTAGATCAAGAACTACGCCATTCCTTCGAGGAATATGTACAACAAGTCACTCAGAAAGAATGTAACAAGACTAAAGCAGATCTTCTCAAAAGCCTAAAGCCTACAATTAACACCGAATCTCCGTTCCCAAGCAATCCAGAAAAGTACGTATTCAATCTTTCAGACATCACACTGTCTACTACTCAACTAGAGGCACTATCTCTAGGTCCAAAATTCTGCGTAAAACCACCAAGTACTGACAAGCTACAATGCCAGGTTCAGTTCGAAAATCTAATAAACCAAACTTACGATCTCACACCTACATCAGACGAAAACCTACAACAGTTCAAAGCATCAATCCTCGACTGTTGTCACAAGTTTATAAATAGCAAACACAACGGAAGGTTCATCTTGACGCAGAATTTTGGACCTAGAGATAGTGCCTCTAGTTGAGTAGTAGACAGTGTGATATCTGAAAGATTGAATACGTACTTTTCTGGATTGCTTGGGAACGGAGATTCGGTGTTAATTGTAGGCTTTAGGCTTTTGAGAAGATCTGCTTTAGTCTTGTTACATTCTTTCTGAGTGACTTGTTGTACATATTCCTCGAAGGAATGGCGTAGTTCTTGATCTAAGTCTTCGACTACATGAGTTCTTGAGTAGACTACACCGCAAACAAACTTCAGAGTCGTCTACAGAGTAAGAAGTAGTCTCCCTAAAGGTGTACGAATCAGACTTCTTCAAACTGCAGAAGCAATGGCGATTCACTTGCTAAGTCCTGAACTCTGCATACAGAAGAAGTTCGTTCAATCACTACACTTGCAATGGACGTAATCGATCTTATTAGCCGACATGTAAATTCTACCTAATCTTTTCTTCTGTCTCTTCATTAGTATTATTTTGTCTCCTCAATTGTAACATTTTACATTTTCACCTTTCTTGTTCTCTACCCCCACCCGATTCAATTTCTACACCTTACTACCACTGTTACTGACTTGAACAACGCTCAATTTCTAGTCATTCATGTTACGTCATCCAACTTATTCACTCAATCTTACTTTAGTTGCTGTCTGATTAACTTTGTCTCTATACTGCATCATTCTTGTATTAACTGATAAATTATCTAAACTTGACAAACCTCATGTACACACACACACACACAAATATTTATATATAAATGCGATTGTACAGCTATGTGAGTGAATTCGCCGAAAAGAGTCTCTTCGCTGAATGTCTTCTCTTTTTCATATTTTTTTGTCGCATTTCATTGAGGAGACACGCTAAGACATCCGGAAATCCTCAAAGAATTCTGACGGAAAACGTTTTCTTGATTTAGATGAATGCAGGTTGAATTCGTCTCATCTAGCATATTTTATCACTACTTAAAATTTATATTTGTTTGAATCTCAGTCGGACACTTCCAAACCTCTTGAGGAAAATAGCTGAAATTAAAATAATAAAGGTACATGCGAAGCGTACAATTTGTCTGTACAACTATTGTCCTGTCATCTTTGAGTCATGATTAGACATTAGAAACATTACTGTATGCATTGTGATTCACATTTTACAGAATAGTTATCAAGACATATTGTTAACCTGTACACCGTGAACAGTTTATGCAGGGTTTTGTATCAGCCATAATAAAAAGACGGTTTGAATAATGGTCACAGTGAACTGGTGTGAAGTAAAAGAATCTGAACTAAACAATTTGTATGTAAATGTGTGAGTAATTGCAGATCGTTTGTCAGCATGTTTCGAATAAAATGAAACGGCGTTAATGTTGGTGGCAATTTTGAGTCATTAATGTTTCATTTGAAGTCTTCAGTTACACATATCCCTAATGAAAGCACCGACAGTTTCAATAAAACATCAATAAATGTCACACTAGTTACTAGTGTCTAATTAAACATAAACATATTTTATCTTATAAGATACTCAGAATAAGAATCAACAATTAGGCATGAAGATGGGTGATTCAAAGGTGTAGAAAGAAGGCAAAGTACCCGAGGATTAGAAGAAAGGATACTTATTCAAACTACCAAAGAAAGGAGACTTAAGTCAATGCAAGAACTGGCGCGGAATTATGCTCCTTTCCATCCCAAGCAAAATACTAAGCCTCATCATCCTGGAGAGAATCAAACATGCCAACCTGGATGAAAAACTTCGACCGGAACAGGCTGGATTCAGGAGAAACAAGTCATGCATTGATCAGATCGCCACATTACGGATCATCATTGAACAAAGCTTGGAATGGCAGTCAACTCTCTATCTCAACTTCATCGACTTTGAAAAGGCCTTCGACAGACAGTGTCGATCGAGAGGTGATTTGGCAACTACTTCGCTAATACGGGGTGCCGCCGACAATTATACATCTCATCCAACAGCTGTAGGACAATGCTGCATGCCAAGTAATCCACAATGGGAAACTTACGGAATCCTTCGAAGTGAGGACTGGAGTAAGACAAAACTGCCTACTATTGCCAATGATTTTCCTGATTCCAGTCGATTGGATAATGCGACAGACAGCGGGCAATGAGGAAACAGGCATAAAATGGACTCACACAAAAAACTTCGAGGATCTGGACTTCGTCGATGATATTTGTCTGATTTCCCACAAACTGGAAGATATGCAAGCGAAAAGCAACAAGTTGGCAGAAGAAGCATCCAGAGAAGATGTGACTTCAGGTGAACATAGAGAAAACAGAGGTGATGAAGATTCCCGGGCAACACCACCAACAGCAACAACAACAACAGACAACAATCAGCCAGCATAAATGGGAGGAACCTGAAAGAAACAACCTCTTTTACCTACCTGGGAAGTATCGTCTCAACTACAGGCGGAAGAAACTGACGAGGGTATCAAAGCAAGAATCAGAAAAGCAAGACAAGCTTTCACTACTCTCAAGTCTGTGTGGAGGTCAACAACACTCAGCATCAAAAATAAGATCCGGATTTTCAACTCCAATGTGAAGTCAGTGCTACTCACTATAGGGATCAGAGACTTGGCGCGTCATAAAGAGCATCTCAAACAAACTACAGACCTTCATTAACAGTTGTCTTCGCTCAATAGTAGTCAAGATCAGATAGCTGGCCAGAAAAGATCAGCAACAGGGATCTCTGGCAATGGACGAACTAACCTAGTTGGAACCAATTGTGAAACAAATAGGCAGGAAGAAATGGAGATGGATTGGCTGGCCATACTCTGAGGAAACCATCAAGTGAGTGACATCACACGCCAGGCCATCGCTCGAGTGGAACCCGAAATGGAAGCGGCGAGTTGGTCGTCAGTGCAAAGGTGGGTGACTTGGAGGAGGTCATGTGAATAGGAGATGAAAACGTGTGGGCAGACATGGGGCCAGGTGAAGACTCTAGCAGAGAACCGAACACAATGGAGACGCACGGCTGAAGCCCTATGTTCCTCTAGGAATTAAAGGATAAAAAAATATTAATAATGGGTGATTCCTATCTATACTACTTATTGAGCAAGACCTGTCATGCATCAAGGAAGTTGTGACGGTATCATCGTAATTAATTTATTGATATGATATCCTTCCATGTAATATCGTATATAAATTGTTATCTATTTCATTCTTGTTGATGGCATAAATTGCACCTCAACTGCAGAAGAGAATTATGCCACATTATTTGTTTGCTGAATGTCATACACGACTTCACTCGAAGGATGTCACTTCACTTTCAGACACTAGCACGACTTACATGAACTAGTTCATTTCCATGAATCTAGGATCATAGATCGCACAGAAGTTGAAACTAAGTCGGATGTTAAACACCTTGCATTTTATCTTTCCTCCAATCTTTCTTGGTCTTTCTATATCAAGTTAGTTTGTAGAAAGATATTTCGTTCAACGTTCTACGTAAAGAAGTTGAAACAGTCTGAAACTAGTGAATCCTTACTTTCAAAGTCTGATAATTCGTGTATGCTGCCCAAAAACTCCTTATTGCTCCCCCTTTATATCTCCTAAGCTACTTAAGGAAGACTTTATCACACGATGTAGGGCACCAAATGTCGTCAGTAGGGTGAGTGGGGTGTCACTAAGCCAACTTGTTAGTGCATCTGTAGATCAACACATGGGCTCATACAAGAAATTAGCAAATATTTTCTTCTTGGACTCCTCGCGTCCTCTCTACCCAAAAACTATCCCTTTGCGTTTATCAGGTAGAATCGGAAGTAACTATGGAAGACTATATGGTCGAACGACTAAGTATAAAAACTTCACAATACCTTCACTTCATTTAATAATAATAATAATAGTATTAATAATAATAATCACTTTATTCCACAACAGTAACAATTTACAGCATGGAATTTTCAGCGTTTCTTTTACGTATTGCAATGGTTTAGCTCTGTTTATAATTATATACATGTATAAAATGTTAAAATATTGATAGTTAATAGGAAAATAAATTAAAACCCCAACAAAATCACCCCATTGCGAGGTCATAGTGAATAATAAATAAATAAATAATATATAAATCACACATGCAATAATATGCATCATTACCTTTTATAGTTTAGTTAATGATTTAAAAGTTGTAAAAGTTCTTTTCTGATATTTGTCTCTTCACACAATACTCGTGCCAAATATGGTACGGTTGAATTTTTATATTTAGTAGTACCAGCATACATGTTTATGAAATTTCTTCTGGTCTTACCCGAAGAGATTCAGGGAAACAATTGTGAACAAAGAGGATGTTCACTATCAGACAAGATAACTTTAGCCAAGTGTTTACAAGAATTCATATGCCTATTGACAACAGTGTCAGTTAGTTGAGTCAAAGGGATAGCACTGACCCTACTTACAGCCTTCAATGTTCTTCGTAGTATTATATGGTCTTTCTTGAGTAGCCCAGGGAAGAATAATGGAGAACAATAAAAAATGATGGGCAAAACACATGAATTAATAAATTGTATGAGAAGAGATTGGGTTATACCTGAGTGCCTCAACTTCCTTATGTAATAAGTCAGACGGAAAACTTTCTTAGGAACTCTAAGAATATGAGACGACCAGCAAAGGTTTGAAGAGAAACTAATGCCAAGATAAGAAACACTTGACTTACTCTCTATCATGTTACCATCAATATTACAGCAATCATGAGATTGGATCAATCCATGCATGTCTTTTTCACTTCTCAAGCTGAAATCAACAGTATTACATTTAGTTGGATTTAGTTTAAGACCATTTGAGCCAGACCAATCCTTAACTTCAGCTAAGAAGCCATTCATATAGGAACAATCCGATGTGGAAACTACAGGGACAGAAACGGTCAGATCATCAGCATGCTTAATGAAGTTAACTTTGGGTGAGTTCGGAAGGTCATGCAAAAAGAAAGAGAAAAGAAATGGAGAAAGTACTGAACCTTGAGGCACACCACTTTCAGTTAGCTGAGAAGTGGAGCGCTTTCCAGCCAAAACAGTATGCTGTTTCCTATCCTTAAAATAAGAAGACAGCCATGTAATGAGAAAAGCGTAAGCCATGGCACTAGTAGTTTACTGAGAAACATTAAGTAAGTAAACGGCACTACTAATCCTTTCCATTATTCATATTTTGTCCTTAAAGTTTCTACTTCAATCTTAATTTTCTGTTCTATGTTCTTTTGAACAATATTACCAATATGAATACACTGTTTAAATAATTCTACTTGCACTGTGTAGAGAGAGAATCAGATGCAATGTAAGCTGTACTGCATGGTGCACAAATTCCACACTGTATCAGAATTACTGTTTGCAATGAAGCCATTATTACTATAATTGTTATCATGAAGTATAGTTGATGGCTTACTATAGTACAGGATTATTTCTTATGCGCGCTGTCAACACTTTCACGAAACACCGAGTATTTCTGTCTGTAATCATCTATTTTATACTCCTTCTTCCGATGAGTGAAAAGAAAAAGCCTTAACTGGACTTTCTCTATAACTCATGTTTCACTCATACAGTCACAAATATGAAGTGAAGACATGATACATCTGTAGCTGATTCTACTCAAGCTATGGGGTCTCTACAAAGTAGTGTGTGGTATGCTCACTGAGAGGTGGTTAGCGGTTGAAGAGATTGTAAGAATAAGGTAGCTAATCGGGTAGAAGTTACGTATTCTCCATGATTTTTAAGGCGTTCTTTATCTACTGGATGATGAATGCCTTGTACGTCTATCTGAACTGGTTTTCTGCAATAATGCAAGCAAGCTATCAGTCAGTGATGATTTGGATAACTATTTTGATAGAAAACTCGGTTTCTAAAAATCACTGCCGAAGAACATGGGAAAACTAAACTTATTTTGTTACTGTGTTCTGTTCTTTCCTTTAGGATTTCGAATCCAGAAATAGTTGGATTCATGCAAAAAATGGGATTCTCTGGCAATTCTTCCCAGTTAGTAAATTATTACCTGTCAAAAGTTATCGACACTGTCAAAAGTGTTGCTGACCGAAATCCTCCGATTACACCTATTTTATATCAAGATGTTTTAGAATACGGATATCAGGTAAGTGTTGGGTGATTCGTTTAGCAGTAATTGTTTCATCTACACACACACAACACTATCAGATGTGTTTATTTCACAAGGTGGATTGTGGTTCACTAAACGCTTATGGTTCATAATCACGGTGACTCTTTCTCATATCATGATCCCTATGGTGGAAATATTTCTCATATTCCTGTTATTGCTGTTGTATTATATCATTTGGACTCATCCGGTGTCGGTTAGTTTCATGAATAGCGATTGGATGATCAACTGTGAGTGGTTAACTGGTTTTCTGCCTTATCAACCACTCCTTAACCTTTAAAAGTAAAAAAGGGTTGATTGTTAGGCTGAAAACCTCACTCTTTAAAAAATTAACTCATCGCTATGATAACTTTGATGTACAGAAAAATATGAAAAATAAACTCATTCCTTGGTGAAATGTAGAAGACGATTTCTAGAATGGACTGTGTATGTGCGTGGAAGCCTTCACTATCCCACTCAACCGAAGTGTCACCTTTCAAGCATAAGTATGAGGACACGAAGTGTTCTCACGCTGTTTGAGGCTGCTCAGAACACAGATTGAACCAGATGTGTTATGACACTGTTAGGAATCTGTGAACACAAGTGAAATCTCCAAATTCACAGCTGTAGAGTTAGTAATCTAGTCCAACCACTCAGACGAAATTAAGTATATTGAAAGTGATTTAATCATGGTAATACTGACAACAGAGAAAGCTCTCATGAGCTGAACACCTCATATCTTCTGAAAGAATGTAACTACAAGATTCAAATGAAAAAGAAGGGAAATTGCAGTTATACAGTGATCTGTACCTAAAAACAACACATAAGGACGACGTCTACAGACACGTGCATACAGTAACGGACAATAACCCATCAAGAATTCGAGTTGGCAGCACAACTGTCACACTGTGTGCAGACAGCGCAAGCAGAAAGCTCATCACGAGTCTGGAGTCAGTTAGTGCTGCTGAAACTCTATGTAAACTAATATTTTCTCGAGAAAGTTATAAAAAAGGGTTAAGTATGATAAATCAGGCTAAATTCTCATGTTCTGAAAAGTCAACTGACCCAAACACAGAATAATTTAATCTTTGCACTTAACCCTGAAATCTTTGCATTACCCTCGCTGAGTTAAGTTATTCGGTCCCATTATGGGAAATAAATTAGTGAGCCGCCAGAGATAGTCTCATCTATTGAGCGATTGTGGATTTCCTGCCTAGTGAACTACTTCGGTTGGTTTTCTAAGACATTTAAGCTCTAAGATGACACCACGTGTCAATGCCTTAGTCTCAGTCCCACTGGTAGTGCTATTATTCAGTGGAATGGGGGTGCATGTAGTCGACGAGTTTCAAAGAAGATGAAATACGTTTCACGTTCTTCACCACTATGAATTATGTTAAATCGGTATTCATTTCACATCTGCCACTGTGCGTCAGTGGCACAGCCGCCAAAGACGCTCGCCGAACGTGCACATGGTCCGGGGTTAGATCGCCTGCCGACGCACAGCTGATATTATTGGTCGGCCTGCTAAATTTAGCCTACTGATATCACCTGCCGAAAATTATACTGCTATACCAAAATACTTGTGGTGAGAGCTGTCTACTAGCCAAATTGGTAGACAGTAATTTACGTCAATATTTACGTTCCCAAGATGTGTCGTGAGAAACAACCAATCGGAAGACTGTGTTTGTTTGTTTACGTATCCATAGTAATGTACATGGAAACACATATAAATATGCGTTGATTTCCTTAATAAATGATCTGTTGCCTGACTCTTGCCTTCTGTCGTTACATACTGTGTGAAAACAAGATATGATAAAGAAAATTACGTCTGACCATGTTTTTAAGGAATTCTAGAAACTGAATATTAGTTTGGAGTGTCTCACTTAGTCTTCATTTTGAACACAACGAAATGCTCCGTTGTATTAGTTAGACTGTCATTTAAATTTCCGAATCATTTTTTTCAATCTGCTATAACATAACGTGGAAATGATTGACCTGGAGTTAGGGTAGCTGTTAAGGTGTGCTAATTTCCTGAAGACAGTACCGTCAAGGATGACAAGTGTTCTGCCTAGCTTTATTTGCAAATCGAAGAAAGCCAAGTTCTTATTGCTCATTTTATCAGTCTTCATCTAGCTAAGCGACCACCCTGAAATCCTGATTATTAGAAATCAGTCAGCGCCAACTCCAAGAATCAAACGTAAGATGTCGGTTACTTTGAAGTGACTAATCCAGCAATGATATACTTTTTCCAGAGAAATTCAAAGAACTTAGATTTGAAAATAGAGCAGTAGCGAATTGATTGTATCTTTCATATAAGTATGAAAAACTTGGGCACTGTGGTAGAGCATAACTCCATGATGGAGTTGTTGCATCTTTCAGTTTTCAGAAAACGAGCCACCTCTGTATTTTTTTGCATTAAAGATAGACAAACACCTAACGCGTCCTCAAAGATAGGCTTTAGACATCTCAGATAGCTATGGCATTCCTCATTATAACCACTGTATAATTGAAATCTCTCATTCTTAGAATAAGGTGTCTTTCACTTTCCAGATTACCATCTGATCGTAAATTTCTCTCATTAAATGACATTTGTATTCGTTTGACAAACAACCAGTAATTGTATGAATGTTTGGTTTCATCTAATAGGGTGACGAAAACACAGTCATTCATGTTTGGGAAACCTCAGACTGGGAAGAATATATCAAAAAGGCTACTGGGAAAAAATTCAACGTCATAGTTTCTGGTGATTGGGTTTTAAGTGATTTACACAACGAATATGATTGGATTAAATACTACGAACAAGATATCAGAAAATTTGGAGGTTAGTTGGTTTACCGTATGCTTTTTAATTGGAATGGTGCCATTAACCAAACTTATGTGTTGATACTGTCTATTGGATTTGATTAATTTCGAACTTATTTGCCATTTAACACTGTTAATCCGTTGGTAGTTTGAAATTACACAGTATGCGGTGATATAGGTAACAACTCAGGATTCTGACGTTTAAGAATTCAAGAATAGTGAATAGAATATGTAGGTCAGTTGGATGTTTCTTTATTGTTGTTGTATTATGTGAGCTGGGCAGTTTAACTGCAGATTCATAAACACTGAACAAGCACATCCTTAAAAGCAATGGTTCAATAATGGATCTATATCTGATGAAGTATGCATGCACCTCGATGATGAACATGTCGCAAATGTGAACTCAGATTCCTGCCTCACATTCAACAAAAAATGTGTACCTGAGAAGGAGTACTCGAAGTTGAGTACGATGAAAAGATAGATGGTCTGAATTTCATGGCGTCAGAATCAAAATAGTCCTGGGTTCGAATCCCGGTGGGCGCGTAATGCTGAAAAGTCCCAAACTAGGACGAAACAGCTGTCCAGTACTCCCAGGTTTTCCAATGGTTCTCTAACTAATGTCAGCTCATGATGAAAATCCTGTAACCAATCAAATCCCTACAAACCAACACTTGAATAATCCTGAATATTCGCCACTTTGTAACTACATGCCTATCGGTAGCTCACGACTAAGCAGTTTAGCTTGCATAATTTCAACTGAAACTTGATGTTAAAAAAGAGCAAATGATGAATTATTTTATGTTGGCATCTGAATTAGGAGCGATGATTAGTGATTTCGACACCACCAGTATTGGTTCGTCAATTACTTCTGATTGTCAGAACCCACGTGAGTGAAGACGGAAGGATGATACACTCCACACCAAGGATTCGCATGCATTATTCATTAATACATTATTTATCAATACCACGTTCCTCGGAGGGTTAAGTTAACAAATGGGCAAATATATTGGTTGTATGAAGCTGGACTTCCAGATTGTCCGATTGCATTATCATCAGTATCCTGATCGGGACCGTATGGTTTGATTTATCCATTCCAGTTTAATCCTGTCTCAGTTTGGTTTTGCTGTTATGTGCCTATTTGAGATCGTTTTACGTGTAACACACGATTTAGGTATAGAATGTACTGTGAATGTGGCGTTTCTTCTATTCTTGTGAGTTCAATCCAACTTTGTCATGGCAGTTTCATATGGTTTTAGTTTCTTCCACCTTCGAAACAAATCTCATTTGATCTGATACAGCCTGACCAGATCTACTAATGGGACATTTCATGCGGTAGAAGAATTTATCAGTTACTCAGCTAGACTTGTGCTGTGAAAATTTAAAACCATAATAGTGTTAACCTTGTGATCTGCTGCTTATGCTACAGGGTCTATTTGATTTTGAAAGTGACGAATAACAGTAGCGATGAGAGCTGGGTGAACATTACGAAGTGAGTTCGCACCAATGACCTTGAAAGCGAATCACTCATCAGACTAAAAAATCTGCGTTTACTCCAGCTCCCGCATGAATTTCGTGTACGAATGTGGGTGTAATTTTCATCTTGATCTCGTTTCCAAATACTGTTTGGACGATGGGTTGTCAGAACGTCGTGTTTAGAATTGCGATAAAGTGGTAGATATTGTAGTTGGAGCGAAGATAAGAGTTCAGGCGTTCGATTATTGTCGGTATTTTCTTTGCAAATGGATATGCATTGGAGGAGAGTATTTCCTTGTTCATACAGATGAAATTGAGGTGTCCAGGAATAAAATTTCACCCGATGGTCTCGTCAGCGTGTGTCGTATCAATGTCCTTTTCGCCTAAGTATTTGTTGTTCAGTAGATTCTCGATTGGTTCGTTTCCAGAGGATCTCGTTGCGCATCGCATGTTTCTGATCCATATATAAGAAGTGACTGACTTGACATTTGTGTTGAAATTCCAAATTTTGTTCTTTATGCTGAGTACATCGGACTTCTAAACAGATTTCAGAGCGATGAAATTCTGTCTTGCCATTACGACGTTTCAAATATAGCGGAGAATTAATTAGCTATTTAATTAACCATTTCTAAATCAGCACTCACTGTCTAAATTTATCAGTAGTGCAGACCCCTCTCATTCGGAAGACAACAGCACATCAAATTTTAACAAATGAAACCATCTGAATTGCAAATGTTTCATTCTGAATTTGCAAATTACACCAATAATTATACCGTCTATTAACTTCCTGTGATGATAATAATAATTATCATGTCTGTTTTACAGGCTCAGACGAGGAGGCATCATTAGTCATTGGTGGTGAAGCTACACTTTGGGGCGCACGTGTGGACGAGACCAATGCGATCACTCTGGCATGGTAAGCACAGTTTGTGAATCATTCACATAGAACTTCTGGCGTTAACATCTTTCGACCATTTAAGAAAATGGTTTGAGTTGAGTCACATGGAAATGAACCAAGTGTATATAGGGATTTTTTGAGTCGACAAGACAACTTAGTGAAAATGTCCCTTGAAGCAGTAATTTACAAAGTAGCCCAGCGCTGAGGAGTCTCTGTTAGAAAATGAGCATTCAATAACATCCCTTCAGGTTCAGATGAAACAGGATGGACAGATCGATGCGGCTGCATTGTTAGCCAATCATCAAACAAATATCATAAAGATGAATTGTGATTTTCGGTACTCCTATGACTGTCTTCAACGTATCGCATATATTACCACTCACTAATTTTGAATGTTAACCACTAAGGGTGGAGTTGACGGTTCTACTGATTTCGATATCAAATGACCAATACTGAATTTTCATCAACAAATGACACTGCTGGTCAGATACTGAGTGATTCGCCTTCGTATATGCTACATAGGCGAGACTCATACAAGAAATGATGCAGGGAGACATCCAGTTTATGACAGACCGACTTTTGAAGAGCCTGACAAAAAGGTTTAGTGTGACCACATTTTTCTTGCTTTATTTACCACAAGGAATTATCTTCTCTCATCTCTGTCGTATACATATATGCAGGCCCAGAGGTGCTGCTGTAGCTGAAAGATTATGGTCTAAAAACCCTGAGACAAGTGAAGAATTTTCACAACGAATCGGTGAACTTCGATGCAGAATGCTCTAGTGAGTCCTTGTATTCTTATATTCATTTGTAATCATGTATGTTGTGAAGTTCTACTGCAACATGTTTGTGCCATGGCCTTTTCCCAAAGACATATGGGAGTTATACAGAAATAGAAAATCAAACAAACTAAAATCAAGTGAGTAGAAATCAACACGGTTGTTGCCATGATGTTAGATATGATTGAATAACTTCCTTTTGTGCACATATCTCCGGTTTCCCTAAATTAATGGTTAAGGCTTCAGCAATGCAAAGGAGAAGACAGAATATTACTCTACATAGGTTGTTCTTCCGTCACTCACCATCAACAACAAAATTCGGATTTTCAATACAAACGTCAAGTCAATTTTGCTTTACGGATCAGAAACTTGGCGGGTCACCAAGAATATTTTCAACACGTTGCAGACCTTTATCAACAACTGTCTTCGCTCCATACTGAAGATTAGATGGCCAGAAAGAATCACAAACAAGAAGCTATGGGAACAAACGAAACAGGAACCAATCGCTCAACAAATATGCAGGAGAAAGTGGAGATGGATTGGACACTCGCTGAGGAGGCCGTTGAGTGACATCGCGCGTCAAGCCCTCGAGTGGAACCCGAAAGGGAAGCGGCGAGTGGGACGTCCAGGGGTGACATGGAGGAGATCGTGTGAGGAGGAGATGAAACAGTATGGAATAACATGGACGCAAGTGAAAAGAACAGCAGAAGACAGAAGCAAGTGGAGACGTGCAGTTGAAGCCCTATGTTCCACTAGGAACCCAAGGGAACAATAATAATAATAATAATAATAGGTTGTTCTTCACTTCGTAGATTACTTTGAAGAAGGCGTTTGTTCAGGTGGAACGACCGGTGCTCCCTAGATATTCGAATATCGTACTCCTAAAGAGAGAACTACTACAATTCTGCGATCACGAGCGGGAACCTTTCCAGGCAGCTCACGCATTGAATGACCAATGTATCTGGCTCCAAAAGAGTAGGTGAACTGATATATGCACACAAAACGTAACAATTAAACGAGGAGCATTTTTAAAAATTTTTTACGCATTATCGCTGTCTACCAATACTAGTTATTCAATGTGTGAAATAACAAAGCTGATTGTAAATTTCCTTGTAATTGTTTGTCGATTTATTTCAGTAACAACATAGAAGCTCATCCAGTCAATGGTCCAGGTTTCTGCCCAACTAGAATTTTGAGGACATGAACAAACTGGAGAAAGTGAATGAAGATTGCTACTTACCTTTTTGTGTATCAGATTTTTATTGATTTCTGTTTTAATAAAATGAAATTTCTAATTATTTTTATTATCCACTGAAATACAGTCTTTTGAAAGAAGTAACTTATGGCTGTTTGAGTGAGTGCAGGCTTTGATTGCTGGCGTTTTACATTAAAATAAACCTGAGTTCAGCACACTATTTGTTAGTCGGCGCTGTATGAACACATTTCGTCCGTCAGTGTGTAACATGTCCAACGCATAGCTTAAATGTCACATCTTCATTCGGTTGCCTGTCATCACTTCCAGTTATTTCAACTATCAGCATAATTATTGGATGCCTAAGTGGTCAACCATCGTCTAACTGCTATAAGAGGAAATGGCGTCAGATGCTTGTTTAAGATATCTTCAGAGCCTACTCAAGCCACTTACATTTCATTCTGAATGTTCATCGAGTGGCAGACTGTTGACTGGTTCGCTGTAACAGTTACTCTATGCATTATCTTCCTGACTGGCCATCTGATCTAAGTGTGTAGAACGGAGAGAGTTGTTCATAAAAATCTTCATGTTGCTGGAAATGCTTTCTGTGATACATGCTTCAAGTTCCTGAACCGTATATCAGCACTGGCCTAGTGTTTGTCTCAAGTATTCGAATCT